TTAGCATTTGGGACTTATTTGTTAGTTTATGAATGTTTACGAATTTATGGGTACTTGGGGGATTTTATTGGGGTTTAATAAGTTGGGGTAGTTATCGGTAATTAGGAATTTTTATTTAAACTATTTTTCTACTGTTCTCCGGCGAGAAAACTTGCGTTGAAACGAATTGAATGCACCTTGACTTCTTTGGACAACGATCACTAAGACACGGTTCACACCTCTTCAAACACGGTTCGAACGAGGATGTTTGATGTTTACACGACTCACGAGACAGATCTACATTAAGTTACTCCTACTCCTATGGAGGTTCAGTGAGAGCTCCGGATCTACGACTACGACTAAAATTGCAGAGGAAGGATAAAGGGATAAAATTTGACATTATGTTGTCTGGTGTGAATTTGGCCCCCTTTCCTCTGTCAACTCCTCCTCCTATTTATAGGCCTTGAGATGATAACCGTCGTAGAAACTGTCTTAGAGTAACTTCCAAAAGGAACTGCTCTCCTTCTTTCTCGGATATGGCTGACGTGTCAATGCACGTGGGATACTCGGCAGTTTCTCCGTTAACCGCCTGCTCTTCATCCTGGAACTGTCGTCTTGTTACTTGCCTCTCCCACTTGACTTGCCTTCTTACTTCCAACTTGTTAGCTCGGATCTTGGGCATGGTCTCACGATGTGGCCTAGATCTCGCGCCGCATAGAGCTCTAAGTTTGACGCCAACGTGATCTAGATCTCATGACCATGTAGAACTCTAAGTTTGACGCCAACGTGGTCTAGATCTCATGATCACGTCAGGCTCTAGATTTGAAGTCAATATGGTCTAGATCTCATGACCACGCCGGGCTCTAGATTTGAAGCCAACGTGGTCTATATCTCATGACCACGTCGGGCTCTAGATTTGATGCCAACGTGGTCTAGATCTCATGACCACGTCGGGCTCTAGATTTGATGCCAACGTGGTCTAGATCTCATGACCACGTCGGGCTCTAGATTTGAAGCCAACGTGGTCTAGATCTCATGACCACGTCGGGATCTAGATTTTAAGCCAACGTGGTCTAGATCTCATGACACGTCGGGCTCTTCAACTCGCGACGAGACTAGCTCCTTCTTGGAGACTTAGTTTGGGGCTTAAAATTATTATCATGAGGCCCAGTTCAAATAACACTAATTGTTATTAATGATCTGGCCTTATAAAGGCAGTTAGTGCATTGTAAGTAATCAGTGTGGTACACTAGTATTTTTTAGGTGTACACATCTACGTTGAATGAAGATTAGCAAATGATTAAACCCTAATTACCTAGCTCTCTCTCTCCCTCTCACCTCCCTTTGGCCGACCCCTTTCCTCTCTCAATCGGCTGCTGCGCAACCTTCTTCTTCTTCCTTTCCCCTCCCTACCACGTTCCACCTCTTCTTTCCCTTTTCCTATACTCGCACAAGCAGAGCCATACTAGGCTCTTTATCCCAATTCTCACACTTTTCCTTTTATAAGATAGAATCCGGGAAACGGATTTCAATCATCTAGTATCAGAGCCTGATTCCAACTACTGAGTTTGTCGCAACTCTACACCGGGACGGGCAGCAGAACCATGGCGATCACCAAGTTTCCGGCAGAAAAGTACGACGCTGGATCCAAGGTGGCGGCGGCCACGACAAGGGCTTCCTCGCCACTTGCGGACAATCAGCGCGAAGGAGTCGTGGTGGATGAGACGGAGAGTGACGATCTCCAAGCCTTGATGCATCATCATGGCGATGCAGTTGAGGACCGACTCCAACATGGAGGAGGTACGGGCTGAGGTGGAAGAGGCCAGGCGTGAACGTGACGTGATCATGCAACTCCTCACCAGCATGCAGGAGGAACAGAGGCGGCAGCATTGGGGTTCGGCGGGTGGCGGGCCCGCGCGCGGGCGCTGGAGGAGGACGCGCGGCGGTCCCGGCGGCTAGCAGGGCGGCGACAGGGCTAGGAGGAGGGGCGACCGCGGAGGAGGCAGCGGTCGAGCGAGTGGGCCTCGTAATGGGCCCGGGTTACTACCGACTCGGACGGCTGAGGAGATCGCGGCCATACGTGGTAAAGCGAAGATGCTGGGCTACGACAACGTGGTCCAGAACCCGTGTTTCAAACCAATGGCCCACACTCCATGGAGCGCGAGATGGGCCAAGTGCAGCGTGCCGGGGGCGGGTTCAATCGGGCAGGCGGGGCGGACAGGGTCATGGTGAACCGGTCAGGCCCAAATGGCCGAACCGGATCGAGCTGGGTCGAAGGCGGTCGTACCAGGGCTGGGTGGACCGAAGCCGATCGAACTGGTGACGAGTGGACTGCTAATGGTCGGCCGGGGACAGGGTGGACCGAGGAGGGTCGACCAGGAGCTGGGTGGACCGACAGCGACCGAACTAGGGCCAGGTGGACCACCAATGGCCGAACCAGGGTGGGCCGAACCACAAGCGAACCCCACCAGTTCGGGTTGACTCCGGATGGCTGACCAGTAGCTGAATGGAGGGCCCAGCTAGAGGGCTCAAGTGCATACGGACCTCGATAGCAGCAGGAGATTCAGGGGGTCAACCGGGTGGGTACAGAGACTACTCAGGCGAGAACGAACATGGCTGGGGTGCAGGAGACGAAGCACGTGGACCTCTAGTGTATTATAGAGGCTACCCCAGTGCTGGCAGGTATGGTGGATATGACCGATATGATGATGAGTATGGGTTGGTGTTTAGGGCCAAGCCCCCGACCATTGAGTTTCCAAAATTCAATGGCCAGGAGGACGCCAGTTTATGATTATATGCAGCTGACAGGTGGTTCAGAAATCACCCGAACCGGGAGGAAAGGAAGGCGCAACTGGCATCCTTCTATCTGGAGGGAGACGCCCTGCACTGGTGGGAGTGGTTAGAGCGATCCTATGCTGCCACGCAGACGCTGATTACTTGGCCGATATTCCAGGAGGAGCTTCGTTACCAATTCGACAAACCCGAGGGGTGGGCACCGGAGCAGCTAGCAAAGCTCAGGCATACTGGCTCGGTAACTGATTACCGGCCAGAGTTCATCAAACTGGGAAACCAGTGTAAGGGAGTTCCAGAAGAGACCCTGGTGGGCATGTGCGTGGCAGGTCTAAAACCAGAGATTGCTGCAGCAGTCAAGATTTTTTAGCCAGATACCTTGCGGGTTGTCTTTCGTCTTGCAAGGCATAAGGAGGAGGAGCTGGCAAGCTGGAGGAACGTCATAGGGCGTTTCCCCAAGTCTGGAGGGGGAGGCCATGCCGGAGCAGGGAGTAGCGGAACTGGCGGCACAACTATTACTACTAGCAGCGGGGGTAGCGCGAGGGCACCGCCTAAGGGATTTGTCAGGCTAAGCTCAGCAGAGATAGATCAGAAGAGAAGGGAAGGCAAGCGCTTCAACTGCGATGAGCGGTTCACCATTGGGCATAAGTGTGCAAAGCCGGACTTAATGATGTTGGTGGGAAGATGGGAGGACGAGGCCGAGGAATATGCGACGGAAGGCAGGGGCGAAGATCAGGTGGAGTACTGGCAACCTTGAGGACAAGGTTGATTCGAAGGAGGCGGGAATGATAGAAACCTGCATTTCTATTTATTTAGCACTTGGGACTTATTTGTTAGTTTATGAATGTTTATGAATTTTATGGGTACTTGGGGGATTTGATTGGGGGTTTAATAAGTAAGGGTAGTTATTGGTAATTAGGAATTGTTATTTAAACTATTTTTCTACGTATGGAGATTAGCAAATGATTAAACCCTAATTACCTAGCGCGCTCTCTCTCCCTCTCACCTCCCTTTGGCTGACCCCTTCCCTCTCTCAATCGGCTGCTGCGAAGCCTTTTCTTCTTCCTTTCCCCTCCCTACCACGTTCCACCTCTTCTTTCCCCTTTCCTATACTCGCACAAGCAGAGCCATACTAGGCTCTTCATCCCAATTCTCACACTTTTCCTTTTATTAGATAGAACCCGGGAAACGGGTTTCTATCACCATGACAGTAGAACAGCCAGTTCACACCAATGGAGAGATAATCGAAAGGGACGCTGGTTTAAGCAGGGCTATTGCTTGCTGAGAAACTGTTGCCGCCAAGGTAGTCAAACCGGTTTAACTCATTGAGCCGGCCAAGTCAGGGGTGTGAGGTTTAATGTTCTGATCGGGATCCGACTGGTTTGAGCCGTTGTAGACGATTTCTAAATATATATATATATATATAAATAAGGAAGTAATTAAAGATTTTTAATGACTGAAGTGAAGTTTATCTTACTTGTATCTATTAAGAACTTATTTTCCACAAAATAAATCTATCTAACCTCCATGACCCACTCACCATCTCCTTTCCTTCGTTCCTCTTTCTGTCTTCCCCCTCTCTTGTTCTTCCTCTTTAGGGGTCAAACCAAAGACTTTTTATAGTCTGTTTTGAAGCCCAACTTAGGTCGGACCGGATCCAACCGGGGATCCGATAGAAGTTTAACAATCTTGGTTGCCACACTTTGCCATGAAATAGACACAAGAAGAAAAAAGGTCATCGATCCTAATGGAAACCCAATTTTTAGTATATACCATAATTATCATAATAATTATTATTAGGATATTTACAAATAAGGATAGTAGTCTTTTAGTAGAATTAGGTTTATTATTAGGGGTTTCTATCTTTTCCTATATAAGTCTACTTTGGGATTTCATTATGGGCAGTCAAGAAAAATATTAAGAAACCCTCTCTTAAACCCTATTCTCCCAATCCTCTCAATTCTCGTTCTCAATCCCTCTAAAGGCCTAGGCCGATTCTCTATCTTTCTCTTCTCAAATCCCTAAATCCTCAATTCCCGATAGAACCCTAATCCCAGGGTCTATCATTTGGTATCAGAGACATGGTCACAGATTTGAGTTCATCACAACTCTCACCAGGGAATTGTTATCAGAAACTCTATCACGCGTTTGAAGCTCTCCAAGCCAGTCTTGTAAAATGTGAAGCTAGCAGGATAGAATGTGAAGCTAAGAGGGAAGCTCACGACGACTATATGATGGCAGGCCTGAAAGAACTTCGAGCCAAACTCGAGCGTCGCGCGACTCGCCGCCGCGAGAGCCGCAACCAGCCAGAGTCGACGTCGAAGGAATCATTAGCATCAGCCGCCGTTGAAGACGCTCCTGCTGTGGTGGAGTTTGCTCCAGTCGCCGCCACCAAAGAGCCGGGAAAAACAATTCCTGGCGAGCCTCAAGCCAATGTTACCGAGGAGGAGAAGGAGTTGCTTCCTCCGTCGCCGACAGAACAAGTGGTTCCGGCCGTCATCTCCGTAACCTCGGTTCCATCCCCTCCGAGCTTCTCGTTCTTCCTCGCCATCTCAAGCAAACAATCGCGCCCAGCGGTAGAGAGCGAGTGTCGAGTTGCTGCTGCGCCACCGGGCAATTAGAGGGCGCGAGAAATCAGCGACGCACCACCATGGCCGCCGCCGTCATCAAAATCACCGCAGTGGTCACCTCCACCACTCGACGACACCTTCGTAGCTCAAATGGGACCGTCGTCGACACCACACGTGGGAGTAAGCTGGGAGCTGCAGCTGGTCAACTTCATCATCCCCGTCGTCGTCCTCGTATCCGCCACCACTCCACCGAGGCAGACGCAACCAGCCGCTAAGGCTATACCCAGCGCGCCGGATCCACCACCTGAGGAAGAGGAAGAGGAAGGGTCTGCTATGATCCCCGATTCCACCCCACAAGAATTGAGCACCATGGGAGCCGAGCTCCAGCTCGACAGCAACCGACGACACGAAGGGGTGATGACGGCGCGTCGTGATCTGGACACGGCGGAGCATCAACTCGCGCGCGGGACGCGGCGATGGGAGTCCGTTTCCATGGTGTCGTCGATCGGCGAGGAGACGACCTTGAAGACAAGGCCGGATGCGGACTGTCTTCCATACCGCCTGATGATTGAGGCGCTATCGGAGAAGAAGAAGAAGAAGAAGAAGAAGAAGAAGAAGAAGAAGTCAGAGCTTAGAATCGGAAGCCATCATAGAGTGTGGAAAAGTGTGCTACCAGAGAAGAAGAAGGCGGAACGGACAAGGCGGGAGCGAAGGAATGAGGCGGCGGTGTCCACACCGCGGGTGGAATGTGCTCTGCCTGTGGCCGCCGGGAGAGGAAGTGGCAGAGAAGGTCAGCTGGAGGAGGAAATGAGGAGGTTCGGGGCGACGGCAGGCCGGGTTGCGTCACCGAAACTGGGGATGCAAGAACCGCCGGTGATGGCGGACGGCGCAACCAGGAGGAAGTCGGCGGAGGAGAGGGGTGGCGGCTGGGGTCCTCTTCTCACGAACCCTAGATTGCTACCCTGGGAATGGGAAGCACACCAGCAGCAGCCACCAACGTTGGGCCAAGTTGGGTGGGCCGAGTGGTCAGATGATCTACTGCGAGTGGGCCTTATCATGAAGGGAAGCCATTGGAGCTTGGGATCCGGGTTGGGCCAGCTGAACCAACCATTTTGGGCTGGAAATTTAGGGAATTGGGCTTCGTTTGGGCCATGTTTCGGGCCGCTTAAACTTAGTGGACCAGCATGGGGGCCAGGAGAAAGCGAGTCGACTCACTGGAGAGGCTTCGCTGGGCTTGAATCATCAGAATGGGCCGAGTTGAAGCTGTGGTTTGGGCCGAGATCAAGTGGCTCCTTAGCTGAGGTTAAATGGGCGAAGTGGGCCGCACAAGGAGGTTGTCATGAGCCCACCATGGATTGTGTTTGGAGGAAAGCAGGCTTGGAGGGAGTTCTTAGGTTTGTGAATGGGCTTGCAAGTAAGTCAAGCCCAAATGAAATTAAGAAGAAGAACACAAAGAGACTTGACAATCAATTGGGACACAATCCCTTCTTCCAAGTAGATGTGGGTTTGGACCAAGGTGAAGGAAGAGAAGTGGAGAAAAGTCATGGGCGGTTTTCACCACGAAATCCACGGACGAATTTGTAGGGCATTTCCTTGAAGACCTCAAGCTGGAGCATATAGAAGAACATTTTTCCAATTCTTATTTCGTGAATTTCGAAAATGAAGAGGAAAAATTATTCAGTTATGGAGAACGTAGCATGTGTCACGTGGGTGGAGAAGTGTCGAGGAAAGTTGGAGTTGCTCGAGAAGAGTTATTGCGAATTGGAGCGCAACTGGAAACGCAGAAAGCGAAGGATTCGACACCTAGACTGTGCGAGAAAGGTGGAGCAGTGGGCTAAATCGATCAACCTTGAGGGCAAGGTTGGTTTCAAGGGGGAGTAGATGATGGAAACCCAAATTTTAGTATCTACCATAATTATCATAATTATTATTATTAGGATATTTACAAATAAGGATAGTAGTCTTTTAGTAGAATTAGGTTTATTATTAGGGTTTTCTATCTTTTCCTATATAAGTGTACTTTGGGATTTCATTATGGGCAGTCAAGAAAAATATTAAGAAACCCTCTCTTAAACCCTATTCTCCCAATCCTCTCAATTCTCGTTCTCAATCCCTCTAAAGGACTAGGCCGATTCTCTATCTTTCTCTTCTCAAATCCCTAATTCTGTTCTTAATCCCTAAATTCTCAATTCCCGATAAAACCCTAATCTCAGGGTCTATCAGATCCTCACCAAGATCTCAAGTTACTCTTCCACAGATTATGAAGCGCAAACTCAAGAATCATTGCTCTAAGATTGTCCCACAGTCAGCACGCTCTCTATCCTCCAAGCCGCTGCATGAAGATAGAATGAGATGAAGAGTAAAAAACAATATTCATCACCAGACACCAATGAACACAGAATGAAATATAAGGAAGCTAGTACTATCTCCTTCAAAATTCGCCTTTATTCAGGAAGAGAAGAAAGCAGAAACTAGCATCCCACACAGGCACTCTCAAGGACATCAAACTGGCTTGAGCGACAGTAGGAAACATTACAAGGATATGTGAATCTATACTATCAGTAAAAAATGCATCAACTGGAAATCAAAGGGCATCTCGAACTACCCATGGACACTCATTACCTCTGTCCGGCTGGAACAGTCTCCAATTTACGCTCTGTCGCTTGCTTTTCATTTGTTCTTTTGAACAACTCCTTCTCACAACCTACAAAAAGAGAGAGCAAACACTTCAGTTAACAATATGTACTTCCTCGTTCATTTGTCCAAGGACAGTTCCGGATTTTAGTAACTCTGTCTCGCTTATGAAAACAAGCTAATTCTTGAAAATCGAGGAACTTCCTGACAAAGGCTTAACAGCTAACACATGAACAAGAATGACACTCCTCCCTGAGGCCCAATTCTATTGTCAAGCTTATATTCAGCAATAAGAGAGAGACAATTAAAAAGAAAGGATATGTACCGCTACTACGGTCAACACCATCCCATTCCCAGTGGGATAATAAACCCAGATGCCTTCATTCTGTCATCATCACCTAGGTCGAGCAATGGGACACGACGCCGAAGGCGACGGAGGGAGGGAAGGAGGCGGCTATATGTCTGCCGGAAGGAACAACGGGAAGGAGGGAGGTAGGGAGGCGATGTGATTTTGGGGGTTGGAGGGAAAGATGAAAGCAAAAATCTATAAAGAGTTTAAGACCCGACGAAAACCCGCAAGGCAACAAGTTTGACACTTGACAGTGAATTATACATAAACGCCAAAAAGGTCACTGAGCTTTGAGATCACTGATAATCGGTCACTAAACCCATATGACTTCCATAAGAATCGTAAGATCACTAGCGTACAGCAAGGCGTTTTAGCTTAAACCAATTCGCCTATTCTGGTGAAATACATATCACAAGCAGCTGCTCTCTAAAGATTTTGTGCTTTCCTAGTAGAATATATATCTACATACAATATGGTACAACGACAGGCTACAGATTGATGCCTTCTTCCTCGTCACCTCCTAACTCTGTTCTTTATATGGTGTCCAGATGAGCTTGCTGGCATCAACATCAAGACCTCCACGGCCAGCCGCTTTCAGGTGCCGATCCAAAACCTTGGGATCCGCACATATCACATGTTGTCCTTTCCTGTATTGGATCAATTCCAGGCTCTGCAGCGTCGTCAGAATATCTTCGACTTTGATTGCCGTCATGTCACTTAGTTCCTGCATATTATTCCACGGAGAGCAGAGCATGAAATTCCAAGTTCCAAGTGCCCAACACGAAACATCCAACTATGCTGTAAATAAAGTAGGCGACCCCGTACTACCTTAATAGAAATGTTGCCTTTGTGCTTCTTCAAGATGTCGAGCAAAACACGGGTCCAGTATCCTCTATAGCTAACCAGGCCTAGGTCAGAAAGAGGTCTCTCAGGTGTTCCAACCTTGCCTTCCTTCTTCGAAAGTTCATATGCTGCTCCATATTGTACAGATACAATAAGGATAAAAGCAATAAAACATATCGTCAATTTGAGAATAGACAAAGCAAAGTTACAAGGCAACTCCTTACAGAAAGCAATTAGAAATTTCCCGTAGCCTTTCCTTTGGTAAGGGGGAAGAGTGAGGATACAAGCTAAATTGTAGGATTCCTCGGAATGTTTTTCCTGCGTTATATTAAAATATATTAGAAGTAAATTGTAGATTGGCAGCTTATCAATATAATTATAGCATACCCCTCAAACACAAGAATGAGAATATGATCAGACATTCTTCCAGATACTGAAGCAAAGAGCTAATGCAATACTTTAAGAATGAGAAAAGGCGAGAGAGTACACAAAAATTTGCAAGACAGGAAACAGCAACTGAGTATTAGTTTTACCTTGGAAAAATATCCAACCATGTGACATCCACGATCATCACATTCACACAGCACGTAAAACAAGAAGAGGTCAACATCATAGTAGAGGGTCTTGTGATCAAGAAATAACTTCGCCAAATAGCAGAGGTTTTGACCATAGACTTTGTTCCTTTTACCGTCGACCTGCATTTGTAACGAAGTTGACGACACAACTCAGTTTTCAAAACCCATAACTCAAGTAGACAAAGGGTTGAAATTGTATGGAGTTCAAATGTAGAAGTCTCTTGAAGAACATGGTGAAAAACAAAATTCTTTCTAAGAAGCATCATATTGACAAAATGATACTTCCATTCAAGTAACAACCATAACAGTTGTTGCACAACAATTTGGTGTAATATGTGGCCTACATAATAATTTTACTACATTCACAGGGGAATCAGTAAACAAGAGGCAGGCTTACTTCAAACATTGACAATGTACCACTTCTGTAAATCTCATCACCAGGGGGATGTTTGAGATCACACTTCCTCTGAAAAAACAAAGGTAAGATATTAACGCCAAGCCAGCTGAACATATAATACACCCATAGCAATGAAAGAAACAATAACATAAAAAACTGAAATGTTGAATATAGCCACACACAAATGTAAAGGGGAGTTTGTGACCCAACTCACCATGTGCCTTTGAAGCTGCTCCTTACGCTTCATGAAATTCAGGCAGAACTCACAAAAGTAGAGCTTCAAACAATCATTGTATTCAGGTGGAAATGGTGAGAAGTACCATGTTTCAATCTCATACTTCCCAAGTTCCATAGTTGCTATATTTTTCACTTTTGTGAATTCTTCATGCTCCCTCAAGCTGGCAGCATCAAGTTCCTCGTGTCCCTGTTGATTCCAGATTTAGAATTTTGGTTACTTTCTTTTTAACAAGGTATATGATTCATATGAAGCCCTTTAAGTAGATGAGCAGTTGAGCACAATCAATTCAATCCTGTAACTTTTGAGTCCTACAGTAAGCTGTAAACTCTCGTACCTAAAGAAACCTTTTGGTCTAAAGCGATCTCACTTATTATATTCAAGTACTCTACAACAAACAAGAAGCCGAGATTATCCATACACACTCTAAGTTTGAAACAGAAAATCAACAGAGCCACACTTTGAACTCTAAAATGAATCTAACCAAGTTAACCTTTCTCAGGCTTCTCAAATCAGAGCAGTATATATGAATTCAACCAACAATTCCAATGAGGAATCCAGGAAGCTACTTTATTTCAGTTAACTAAGTAGATAAACATACCTCAACATGGGTCTCATCGATCTTCCTTTTCTGATGGCGTGTCATTTTTAAGCTTGTTACCTTATCCTCCACCTTCTCGTCAACTACAGCCTCAACGGAGTCCAGATCAAGCTGATCAAGTTTCACCCATTCATCAAGCCTCCTGTTAACTGCCAACGAAACATAAAATGGCACGAATTAAGTGAAAGCCAACCCTAACCCTAATTTCAGTGAAAATTGGGGGGAAAACTAAATTCGACTCGAATTGGATGCTTACACTCGGTGTAATGAACATAATACTCGTAATCGCTAACTCCGGAGTACGAAACCTTCCTCCTTTCAATAACCTTCACGGGATGATACTTGCCATCTCTCCAGCGGCACATGACCCGAGTTCCAACCTCCAGCGGGAGCGAACTACCTCTCCTTTCCTTCAAACCGTCTGTTTCCATAGAAACCGTGTTTCCGGGCAAGGAAGGCATTTCGTCGATGGCAGATTGACTCTCTTGTTCGACGTTAGAATTGCCGCCAGCAGAGGTCGGCGCCGATGTTCCGTTCTCCGTCAGTGGAGGCGTTGCAATCGAACCCATTCTTGGAAGCCGGAGTAGACAGACGGCGAGCAGTGAGAAGGAAGAAATCGAGGATGGCCAATATGGGCTTTTTATTTAGCCCGCTACTTTTATCGTCCCTCTTCGATTAGGTGGGCCGTCTAGTGGACTTTACAACCAAACCGGTCCAGTCAACTCATAAGTCATAAGTCATAACGCAAAATTCTCGCTCAAACCGGACAAGTGACCCTAACCAATATTTCAAAAACTCTATCGTACCGACGACTCGCACTGGAAATATCGAATATCCAACCCAATTCGATAGGCAATTTTAGTGGTAGGAAAATGATTGAACTACAATTAACCAAGATTATAACACAAATCCTCATTCACCGCCAGCAGACCACCACCGCTGCCGCCGCCCCACCGGCCACCACCACCGCCACTGCAGTAGGGGTGTTCAAATGGTTACCGTGGTAGTAACCAAACCAATTAAGCCTAAATTTCATTAAGCATGGAATAAAATGTCTTAACCAAACCGTCCAATTTAACACAAAAACCAAATTAACCAAACTAAAGTTTAATTGGTTTGGTTAATCAGATAATCGTATTAACCAAATAACATAACATTACATGAAAACAATTATTCTGTTAATGAATAAAATATAACCATATGTTATTACTATCATAAACTATCATTATATATAAGCAATAATAATAAGACTAACCATCCATGATTATCATCATCATTCGAGTTAATACATCATTCATCATCTTTGCACCTAATATAGTTAGCTTACAACAAATCCTTAACATAAATATTAAATACATACCAATACCACTCATTAGGAAGTTAAAGCTCTCCTACAAAACATTTAAACTATACATAGTTTGAGGTGGCTGTCATGGTATTGTACGCAATCCTAAAGTCTAGTAGCTCTCCAAAATGTTTTGGTTTAGTAAATTAGCAGACCTATTTAATTTTTGACCCATAATGTTTTGGTTTGTTGTGCACATGGAAATAAAATAGGAAATCACGAAAGTTTGGTTTGGTTGGTTTCATGGAAGTATAAATAATTTTGTATATTAGGTGTATCATTAATTGGTTAATTGCTTTCATTGGTTAGCAGTTTGAAACCAAACCACCTAAATAAGCTAAGTTGTTTAACCAAACCAATTATCCAAATTAACCAAACCATATTATCCGAATACTATCGGTTAATAAGGTAACCACGGTAACCAATCCGTTTGAACACCTCTAACTGCCAGATCCCGTCCTAGTGAGCGGACCCCATCCGATCTCGACGGGCGGACGCCGTCGGATCTCGCTGGGCGGACTCGACGGACGAAAGCCGTCTGCGAAAGCTTGTCGTTAAATGATAATTATTTAACTAAATATTCTATTTAATAAATAATCATACTATGTCAACAATTAAATTTATGTTTATTAATTATATTTATGAATTAGAATAACTATAAATTATTCATAAAAAACTTTTAATTATAATAAATATTATACAAAGTAATTTATACTTATTTTTTAATGATGTAAATATAGCTAAAATAAGTAAATTAAGTATAGTATCAATTAAAATAATTATAAATTATCTGATGTTGTGTATAAGAGAATGGATATTTAATTATAAATTATCATAAATATTGTAAAAAATTGTGAATAATTCATTTTAAATATGTAGAATAATTATAAAATATTTATAAATTTTGATTAAACCTTTTTAATATTATTCATTTCATAGTTAATTAAATCATCGTCCCTAAACTATGTTTTATAAAACTTCCAAGGAATTGGGGCACGAAGAGGACCCTTTGTGGCTTGCCGAAGGTCGGGCAAAAACATCTTTTCGCAATTACTAGAGTCACCGACATCAAAACTTAATGAAACCCTCATCGATCTCGTAAAATGTGGATATATGTATGTGTTGGAATCGACCGTTTCTCAATCGCACATTCCCGACAAAAAGAGATGAATAGTGCTAAAACTTCTATCGAGGTTTTTTAAAGGCTCTATGGTGGTAACTAGGAGTTTCTTGAGCCTATCATGTATATTTCCACGATGCGAAATATTGTTGTTGTGGAGGCAGAGATGATTTTGCCTCTAAAATAATGTCATAGTAGGATTGAATGGATCGAGGTTGAAGGTAGCTATTCAAGGGGAATGAGAGTTTAGGGTTTCAGAGGAATATAAGGTATAGGAGGTGGATGAGATGCTTTCCTTCTTTGTTGTCATTATTGGTCCAGTTGAGTAGAGTTGATTCTTAGGGGTTGTTTGGAGAATGAGAGTAAGAATGAAGAGATTATAATAAATCTAAAGATTTGAACTCATGAGATTGTTTGATTATGATTCTGAAAAATTCAATGTATGGTAATTGTGATTTAGTGAAAATATAAATTCTAAATTTTAATGAAAGGACATATTTGCCCTAAAAAATTAAGACGGTAAAAAAGACCATTGTCGTGTCTTTCCCGCTGAATTCTCCCGTCACTACAGCTTCTTTCATGTTCTATTCTTTTTCTAAACCATCACCCTCATCAAAGCACAATCGGTGAGTTCTCCCTCCATTCTTACTTCATGGTCTATTCTTCTTCCAAACCATCACCCTCATCAAAACACATATGGAGCAGCTTCTAAATAGTCTGCAATAATTCAAACAAAAAGGCAGCAGAGCAACGACATAAAAACAACTCTCCTACAGTAGCCGACAATGATTCAAATTTCTGTTGTAATATTATCCAACGTAAAAATGCAGCAAAGAAAATCCATAATAAAAGGATCTCTCCAGTAATGCTCGCTAATAAAAGAAACTCTCAACAAGCTAGAATCCTACCTTTCAGTCTACAGGTTCCAAACTATAAAAAAAACTACTGATACTTCAGCTTGTTCTAACAACTGCCACAACCAAACCAAAGGCGCCACTCTCCAAAAGCTGGCTTCTCTTCAACGGATGAGTTCCAGGAGAAAGCTCAATTGATCTTCTGCTGGGAGTTGGTAGTATAGATCAGCAAGGCTAACATCCTTCACTAATGCGATTGAAGCTTTTAAGACCTGGTTTCTTGTAAGGCCTTCAACTTTGGATAACTCCTCAAACAAACTCCTACGCCTAGAAATTAGATCATCCTCCATGCAAAAGCTATTGGCAATCCTGTGAACGTCTGTAGCTGTTTGTTCCATCATAGGCTGCAATTTGCCAATCTCAGCTGTCACTGCAGTTATGAATGCTTCATTTCTCTCATGTCTTGGCTTTTTGTTGCTTCCAGTTGATGTTCTAGGCTGCATTTTACTAGTATCAGCTTCATCACTGAGTAGAGTCATGGGATCAACCTCATCATGGACCATATCCTCTAGGATACGTTGGGTTGTTTCAACATCCAAATTAACACAAGGTTCCCCATTCTGGTCAGCTCTGGTTTCCCTAATGTCAGCTGATGTTTGTGCCTGGCCACCCATTGCCCTATCTTTCCCAAAAATTCTGGCTAGCTGGTCAAAGTATAGGAATGGTTTTTTGTTCAGTCCTTTGCAGCCTGGATGACTCTACAAAACAATATTTGATTATCATGTTCACCTATGTTACGAATCAACAACACAAAACTTGTTTAAACATATATGATAAATTGTAGTGTACCTTAATCCATTCATTGAACACATCATCGTCAGCAATCACACGCTTCCTGCTTTCATCCCAACCAAAGCCACTGCAGCTTCCGCCTTACACCTCACAGATAACAGTGTACTTGATTTTAAAGTAGCGATGTCTGGATTGGATGTGAGGCTGAGCCTTCATTTTAAAGTCTGACATCTTCTTATGAATCATGGCCACTAGCTTATTGAGTCCATAAATTTTGAAATTCCCACCTTCAGTTTCTCGTGATTGAGTTAGCTCTAGCATGGCCTCGATCAAAGAAACATCCTGTTCCGGTGTCCATTGCATATACTCACCTTTTTTCTTTCTCGAGGCAGGTCCAGCATCGTTGGACTGAACTTGGTTTGCAAGTTCCATAGCTGGTACGACATACAGTTACAAGCATCAAGGCAGACTTGGTTAACCAATATGGAGCACACAACTGACATAAAGAACATATAACTCATAGTGCAAGCTGCTACCCCACATATTAGGTGTGAAGACTTTCACAAGGCTAGCCTCTAGCCCACGTATTGGATGAGAGAGTTACAATAATAAACAAACAAAAAGAAGAACAACACAAATTATGCATATTCGCTTTAAGAAGGCTAGTTGTTGTCCACGTATTTGGTAGTAAGATCAACCTACAAGCAAGCAAACAACCACCAAAATTATGCACATTGGATGAATAATGCTAGCTGTGAAAATCAATAACAACTCCCCATTGTGGATAAGTGCTAGCCCTCGTACATAAACACGATCAACATAATCACTATAAGAAGAAACATAATCACTAGGCAGGTTCCATGCCACTAATAAAGAAGTAAAATAACCAACTCAACTACAAAACCATAAGAACCATAATATCCAGCTCCTAAGTACAATTGAAAACAAAGTAGAAAATGACAACGCCATTGATATAACTATTGACCCGCCCAACTCCTATTTGCCCACATATATTGGGCAAGATTGTTCCTAAATTGAGTCCATTCTGCTGTGGGTTGGATGTGCATGATAAGATCATCATTTTCCATCGACACTGGTTCTTCAGAATTATCTTCATCCATGTACAATCTCTCCCACACATCAACACCAACCTCTCCCCGTATGTAATTGTGAAGCAAACAGCAAGCATTGACCATTTTTGCTACCATGGTTGTTGAATACCAAGTTGTATCTCTTAAAATTGCCCATCTCATCTTTAAAATACCAAAAGCTCGTTCAATAGAATTTTTCGCAATTGCATGCCTCATATTAAACATCTCCTCGAGAGTTCTAGGCCTATTACTACCCCATTCTTTCAAGTGATAACGCTGCCCTCAAAAAGGTGAGAGGAATCCTTCACAATTACTATAGTCGGCATCACACAAATAATAGTTCCCCAAAAAATAGTAGAAGAAAGTGTATTGTAAAAAGTCTGCTAAAACAGTGAAAATATTAACAACTTCATACTAACAACCACTACCTCTTGGGACCTTTAAACCATTTGGTCGAACAAGAGCATCTCTAAGTACTCGTCCGTTATGAGCTGATCCCTCTCAACCAGCCAAACAATAGATAAAGTTCATGTTTGTATTACAAACACCCAAGACATTCATACCAATGGTTCCTCTACGAGTGCGCTATCTTTCTTGCATCTCCTTTGTCGCTCAGACACTTATTATTGTTCCATCCAAATCACCAAGACAATTCTACGTATAATTTGACCAATCATCCAGTAAGAGGTTTCCTAAAATAAGTGAAAATTTATCACATATTGTTAACAAATAAAGTTATTAACCTTGAAATGCTTCCACTTGAAGTCAGTTGAATTCTCTGGGACAGGTGCAGGTTTATGCAGTAGTATTTTGTGAAGTTTCAACACAAGAAGTAAGACGAGTTTAAAAACTCTACAAATGGTTTCTCCGGATCGGCGAAAAATCTTTTGCAATACACGATTTTTCTCATTATGAGCTATTGTGTATAGGAAGATAGCAACCATCTCGTCTATTTCCATGTATCAGCTACGACGTAGCCCTCCCTCATCTCCAAGAAGATTACAAAGCTTTTTAAAAGCTTTGCAATTCATCCTAATGAGCATAGTGCTCGAGATATCACTGTGGTAAGTTACAGCACTCATAAAAGAATTCCTAGCATTTTGACGTGCAATTGGTGTCTCCCAAGAAGTAGCATTTGATATATTTAGCAAAACTCTTTTGACTTTCTAGTGCCTCCGACAGTAAGATATGTAACTTTAGATAACAAAACAGGACTTCACAGAACATCTAAATCACAGCAGCTACAACCTTTCTCCTATGAATTGGACATCGTGCCATTGCCTTAGCATCAAACATAAAAATAAGGAGACAAACAAACTCAACACAATTAACACTAAGGCAATGTAGCAAATACGACAAGAGAAGAAACATATTAGGAAAAGAAACAGGAAATCACGAACACAGTGAAGAAACATGGCAAGCTAATAAACCTGGTAAGATAAGAAACTAACACTCCAGTAAAGGCATCCAATTCTAATTGACAGAGTACCATCTCAATACTATACTTTCAAAAATCAGGGAGAAGAAGCAATAAGGACCAGAGTTGCATGCACATATGGAAAGCACAAATACAGAGAAGACACAAGAGTTCCAGTAAATACATCCAACTAAAACTCCATCAAAATTGTAATACTGTGTGTTTGGAATTAGGGACAAGAAGCCATAAGAACCCAAGCAAACAAGAATTGGAATATTAAAGCAATGTCGTGAAGAAAAGCTTGAAATTGAAGATACGAAAGAAAGGGAACATACCCTCCAATCGATGAACAACGAACGGCGATTACCGGAAAGTGGAAACCAGCGTTGAGGATGTTCTGAAGATGGATGTCAGGTCTACCAAAATTTTTTTGCTCGATGGGATTCCTTTTTATTGAGAAGCTTGCTGCGGCTGCTGGGCTGAAATAGAGGCAGGAAGAGAATCCAATACGTCAAAAAGAAGAAGGTGGGAGAGAGAGATAATTATTAATTACAAAAGTAAAAATTGAAGGGATATCGTTGGTAAAAAATTCTCTGATAAATTATTTATTCCAAATCTCTACTTTTTAGAGAGATTTGATATTTCTATTTTTCAGAGATTGTAAATCTCAAAAATTAAATCCAGATACGTTAATTGTGGCAAAAAAACAAGGCTTTTTATTAAATCAATAGATTCAATGAATCTATATCATGAATCATGTTCTCCAAACGACCCCTTATTGTTGTTATCCGTCAACTTGGGTGAGATTATTTCAACTGTGGTCAAACCCTAATTAAGTTAAACCCTAATTTCGGTCAAACCCTTCTTTTTTGGACTTGTTAGTTAAATGTGGGTGGGATGTTAAATTGAGTGTAAATAGGGAACTATTGTTAGACGTGGGAGGAAGTTTTTTAGGTAGTTAATTAGGAAAATAAGCATTAAACATGAGTAATTGGGGAGGATATTAGGTTTGGTTGTTAAGTAAGAAAATACAAATTCGATTGTTGGTGAGAGACGTAAGATTGGGGGCGAGAAATACAAATTAGAGGTTGTTAATTAGAAAGGTTCCTTACGGAAAATTCTTACTCAAGATAAAATATTTCATTAATGTAAACTTAAAAATTTTACCATAAAAAACTCCTCTATTCTACCGCTCAACCAAAAAAAAAAAAATCTACCAAAACTATATCAACGGAAAAATCAATCGTACCTTAAAAATCTCCCTTTAATTGGGAGTGGATCCGGTGCATAACCTTCAGGTCAATAACCATCCATAACCCAATCAAAATCCGCCACATCAGGGTATCTTCTCTCTCCTGAAAAAACTTTAATTTTTTCCCTTATTTTGTTTATAATGGTAATTTGCATTAAAGAAAAACAAGAATACAAAGTTCAACGAAAAAAACCATAAAGTGTATTGAGTTCACAAGGAGTGAACTGCAAGAACACCGGCAAAAACAACACAAAAATAGAAGTCCGGACACAAGGAACAAAACACAGGCTAACGAAATGAAAAACAGCCCGAAGAAAGCTAAAACAAGAAACCAGGCGCAAGCAAGATCGAACGGAAATGGCCAGTGGACCAGACCACTTCCGCCAAACAACACGCACAAACTGCTGGCAATCATGCCTCCAAAGTTAGGAGCAAAAACACAGCAATGCTGAAAAGCAGGAGTAGAAGAGGAAGCCCCCAGCAAAATCGTCTTCCCCATTGAACCCAAAGAACAATCACCCTCGTACCCCTTAAAGGACCGCAACCAATCTTCCACAACCAGCAGCAAGAGGCCATCAGCATCCAGCTAAGATTTCGCGAATCCAGCTCTCCCCTTGACCCTTCTCAACTTTTCCGTGAGTCACAAGCCATTACATCGTATTCCTAGACGCCCTTCTAGCAACCGCATTAGTATACCTCGATTTCTCTTCAAAAACTCTGATTTCTTTCCAACCACACGAACCACCAAACAGCGTGTCCAATGCATTCCTTAAACCATCCATCCACGCTGTCCGGTTTCGAATGTGAGCGTTTTTATATAATCGCGGTTAGATCCTCCCCCTGAGCTTGCAAGCCAAGTCTGAATCGGACGATTCGTCTCCAAATTTCTTGGACAAATTGGCATTCCACGAACAGATGATAGGATGATTCTTCCTTAGTGTAACACAAACAACATCTGCTCGCCATTGACCAACATCTCTTCTTCAAGTTTTCCATTGTAAGGATCCTATTATGGTACACCAACCACAAGAAATAACAGACTTTGCTCGGGACCACGTTCCTCCATATTTTGTTTTGCTTGAAAATTGATCCATCCTTGAAGAACATCCTGAACAAGGTTCCTGTAACAAGAGCTCAAGTAAACCTCATATTTTGTTTTTCTTGAAAATTGATCCATCCTTGAAGAACATCCTGAACAAGGTTCCTGTAACAAGAGCTCAAGTAAACCTGTCATTCGCATCAGGATTCCACACGATTCTGCAAGGACTGCAAGAGTTATTATTCATGTCAAAAGTACTACGATACTGTAACAAACTAAATCTCTCTCTCTCTCACTCCCCCCCCCCCCCAGAGAATATTTAAGATTAAGGGACCATAGAACAACCTCACCTTTAAGGGATGCTATGTCGGATAGAGTAGCTTCGGGGTCAGCAGCGGCAACATCAACGCGAGGAAACGAAGTAGCCAGCACCTTCCCCGGAGTCCATCGATCGTGCCAAAACTAGATTTCAATGCCATTTCCTGGATCCAGACTTGCAAAATTCCAGAACTTATCATATCCTTTAGATATATTTGCCCACACGGACTGAGAAAACCCCACTCTATCTCTCGAGGACTGCCACACAGAAGAGGGATTGTGATATTTGCATTCCATCAATTTACGCCACCAACTATTCTCTCCACCGCGAAACGCCATAACCATTTGGCTAACATTGCATCATTGAAGGATTTTAAATCAAGAACTCCCAGACCCCCTCTGTTCATATCTGTTTTACAAATCTTCCACTCAACCATAGCCATCTTCTTAACGTCATCCGTCCCATTCCACAAGAGTCTCCTTAGAATCCGTTCCAAATCCTCAATAACCGAGGCAGGGGCTTTAAACAAGGAAAAAAGGTAGGAAGGCATACTAGAGATCACTACTTTGCACAACACCAACCTCTCCCCTATAGAGAGGTGCATGTTCCCCCAACCATTGAGCTTCTTTCTCACTTTATCGATAATAGGGTCCCAAATCCTCGGATTGTTAGGTCTAGCCCCAAGTGGGAACCCAAGATACTTGGGTGGATCTCTACTCCACTTACAGCAAAAAATGGCAGCAAAGTAGCTAGGTTCCTCTACATCACCCACGGTATACATAACAGATTTTTCCAAATTAATCCTCAGGCCCGTCGCCGATTGAAAGCATGCAATAGTTACAAGGATGTTCAGAACCTGTTCATGATTAGCCTCGCAAAATATTAGGGTATCATCCGCAAAAAGGAGGTGAGTCACCTCCCCACTTCTGGTTTCTTCATTCATAAAAAAACCTTCGAATTTTCCATCCTCCCTAACCGCTTTAAGCATTAGGGACATCACTTCCATAGTTAAGACGAATAAACCTGGTGAAAAAGAGTCTCCATGTCGAAGTCCTTTAGACGTCTTAAAGTATCCCTTAGCTTCCCCATTGATTAAAATAGAGATAATAGAAGAGCACACGGACCCTTTGACCCACTACCCATTTCTTAGAGAAACCCAGCGGGGCAGCGACGATAGAATCTTGAATAAGCACTCCCAATTCACGTTGTCGAAAGCCTTCTCAATATCCAGCTTAAACATGAGACCAGGCCTCCTGCTGTGGCGCCTACTGTCAACTAGTTTGTTGGCGATCAGCCCTGCTTCCGAAATCTGCCTCCCCTTAACTGAAGCTTGTTGTTGTCGAGAGATTAACTTCGGAATAACTAGGCTAAGTCTTGTTGATAGGACCTTACTAATCAATTTGTTAATGCTCCCGATCAGATTAATCGGTCGTAGATCTTTAATATCTTCGATTGTGTCCTTCTTCGGAGTAAGACACACAAAGGAATGCGAAACACATTTTGGCAACATTCCAGTCTCATGGAACTCCTGAAAAGCCTTCAGAATGTCCAATTTCAACCACTGCCAATCTTTCTTGAAGAACTCCAACGTAAAGCTGTCCGGACCTGGTGCTTTACTTCCGTCGCAGTCTCGCAACCCGAGCAGATCTCATTCTCCGAAAACGGCATATCCAACTGCTGACGATCATCGTCCCCAATACAACGAGAAAAAAGCTGCTTCGAGAAAGGGCGATATTGAATATTTTCGCAAAACAAATTCTGATAGAAGCAGACGACCCCCTCCCCAATTTCCTCCTTGTTATCAACCATTCGCTCGTTGATCCTAATTCTCTCTATGAACTTAACCTCCCTCCTGTAGTTCGCTGCTTTATGGAAGTACCCCGTGTTCTTTTCACCCAACTTTATCCAAACCTCTCTCGACTTCTGTCTCCAACAAACCTCTTGGATGAACAAAGTTCTACTAAGTTCTAGGGCCAAACCAATTCTACTGTTCTGCTCCTCCTCAGATAGAAGTCTCTCTTCTTATATTCTATCCAAGACCATAATCCTAGTAGACATCTACCTTGTTGTCAATATTTCTGAAAACCTCCGTATTCCATATTTTTTCCTTGGCCTTGGTTAGCCACAGTCGTCTAGCCAGCAGAAACATACCACCCATACCTTGGAAACTCTCCGACATCCACTTACCCAATTCAATGTAGAAATGAGGATCTTCGAGTCACATATGCTGAAATCTCCAAGGCCTCTTAACTCTCTTGTCTTCACCCCATCTTAAAACAAGCAAATTATGATTTGATTCCACCCTCTCCATGGCAGATAGGGTAGAGTCTGGGAAAAAAAGAGTCAAAATCCTGAGAGATAAACACCCTATCAATACGAGACATTGTCTCCCTATTGGTCCCATGGCTCCACGTGAATTTGCTACCGCAAAGAGGCAGCTCCTGAAGACCATTAATGTCGATGAAAGCATTAAATTCCCCCATCAGCTCCGAGCTTCTTCTCATGCCGATGTACTCTTCATGGCTTCTAACCATGTTAAAATCACTTGCTAAACACACCGCCCCAGAATGCACAGAGCAAATTTCGTTCAGCTCAGCCATGAAAGCAAGCTTATCAATCCTCTCCTGAGGGCCATACACGAACACAAACTTCCAAACCTTTGATGAGCACTTTTCCATAAGTTCCACCGCTAAGAAGAAGTCCCCCACAACACAGGAAACCTTCGAGAAATAGGCCTTGTCCCAAATAACCACAATTCCCCCAGAGCTTCCAGCCGCGTTCGTCACTTCCCAATCAAACTCTTTCCTAGCAAAGATGCTTCTAACAAGGGGCTCATTACACTGAGACCATTTGGTTTCTATCAATCCCTCCGATTTTTGGATTATGCCTCCCAATAAGACGTTTAATTCTACTCCTTTTGTCGGGATCACCCAACCCCCTAACATTCCAGATGCAAACACATGTATCCATTTAAACCAAATTAATTATCTAACCCACCTCTCCTTTTCTTGCACATTTTCGGGCTTGACGGAGGAGTAGTCGGAGGACCCAATCGTAGATTTTCCATCTCCAGTTTGGTCCGCGAACTCCTAATCTTACGCTGGTGAAGTTCCGAGGCCATTTGCGACAGCTGTATCTCAGTTTGCGCAGGGTTAGGTTGATCGAGAATCCTTGCCACAGAATTGCACGAATGTACTAGTATCTCTTTTTTGAACGGGAATACGTTGGAATCCCACTCCCGGTTGTTCTCGGTCGACATACACGAAGGGGATAGAAGATCCACCCCACCAACTTCGCTCAAAATCTCCTCGGCTTTGAATTTCTGAGGAGTTTCTGGAACACAGCTCGGGCTCCCTACCGCAGTTTCGATCTCAGAATCAGGGAAGGATGGAGAAGAACCATTCATTTCCTCTGGAAAATCATCAAAACCAATAGTTTCCTTGATAATCCTAGACACCCTCTTTGTGATATCGAGCACTGGGAACCCGACATCCATCGACATCCGATCTTCTGATGAGGTGCTAACCACAGAGACTCCCGAAAACCCCACTTGACATTTGATAGCTTCCCAAGGCCAGGCCCAGAATAGAGTAGCTGAGTTCACCAAAGAAACTTAAATCCAACAGTCCTGGAAGTAACTCAAAAACTTTGGGCCCAAGGACACTGAGGGATCTTCTTTTCTACATCCAATAGACAGCCTTTGTTCCTTCCTGCTATCGTCCTCCTCACCGACAAGGAACTTAAGGTTCCAGATTGGGCCTTCTTTTCTCATCCAGACCCTCTTAAGGGTAGGCCCACTGATGACTCGGTATTTGCACATGTTTTCCCCTTTGTTTCTTGATTGTTTGAGCTTGAATTATTGCGTCTTTGGCCCATTTTATGCTAGGTTGTATTCCTTTGTCCCATTTCAGGTCCTAGCACATAAAGTGAAGCATAGGCGCAAGTTTCAAGTCAATCAGAGATCAATTGACGATTCGAGAGAAGAAACTCGGGCATGACCTGAAGAAGAATGGATTTCTACCTCACTTTATGGACAAAGAATCATGCAAGCTTGTTATGAAACGAAAGAGGACGAGACTACGAGCGTCTGGGATCAAACGGCGATTGATTCGGAGTCCGGACGAGGGAGAAACGAAGCATTAAACAGAGGCTGAGCAAGCTGCACGGGCAGACCAGGGAGGCTGCACGGCCGTGCACGTGAGCAATATGGCCGTGCGCCTTATGCCGAGGACACGCACGGGCAACCCCTGAAGCTCGCACGGCCGTGCACCCTGGCCGTGCGAGAGGGCTGAAGTTCGACTAAATGACACGCTGCGTTTTGCGTTGCACGGCCAGAATGGTGATATGCACGGCCGTGCACCCTGGCCGTGCGAGTCGGGATTTCCTGGTTTTAAGCCAAATTCTGAACCAAAGAGGAGGGAGAGCTGGGTTTTGGATCCCAAACACCCAAGGGACGAACCCTAGAGAGAGAGGGCGATTTGAGGGCATTCTTGGAGTAGAGAAGGAGGATTTCTTCGCCTTGGAAGCTCGAGGAACAAGCCCGGACTTGAAGACTGATCATCTGAAGATTCTTACTGCAGTCTCTCTCTTCTCTATGGAGTAACTTCCCTTCACTTAGGTTTTGAGGAACCCTAGCTATGTTTGTTTGATTGGATGATTGTATGAGTACTCTGACTGGATAATCTTGAGTTCATATTCAATCTATGCATGTTTTCATGATTCAATTCTGCTTTAGTCGAGATTATTGATTCTGCTTTGATCCTATGAGAGGGAATACCTGATTAGGTCAATAGAGCTCCATAGATTGATAGTAGTGGATCGATTGCTTTAGTCGAGGGTTGATTCACTGCTTTGTATCGATTGAGAACCTCTTTCGATAGAGGGAGTCTAGTTCAGAACGCCTTGATCAGTTGTTCTAGAGAAGGATACGTCCCTCTAGGCAATTGACTCAAGAGGGCCTTGTTCCTTTAGTCGAGACTCAAGGTCTAGTCAAGGATTCTCCGCATTGTGAATGAAAGTGAAACAGGTTAGAGATCATCAATCATTAATCTGGCTAGTGGCTAGGGGGAATCATACCTAAGTGAGTTCCCAACCTGTAATTAGATTAACTTTAACTGTAGTTTGCTAGAGTAGTTTTAGTTCTTTCATCTTAATCTGATTTGCTAAATAATAAACTGAAGCTGAGTAATAGTAACTCTAGAGACCCGTGGATTCGATATTTATCACTTGAGCCACTATACTGCAGTCCCTTTCATTGGTTACACTTGGCCTTTGTTAGGAGTTGTGTTTTAGAGCAGTCAAGTTTTTGGCGCCGTTGCCGGGGACTTTCTAGAGTATTAGGAAAGGCAGAAGTTTGTTACTTTAGCGTTTTTCTTTTCTTTTCTTTTCCACCCTTGCTTTTCACTTGGGTGTTTTTGTTTTTGTTGGTGCAGATCTGAATCATGGATCCTAATGGCTTCTCCAATCATTGGGGGTATCCACCACCATCTGGGTGGTATTACCCCGAGACTCCCTGGAGCAATCAAGGCAGAGAAGACTATGGATTCGGGTTCCAGTACCAACCCCCTTACTACGGAGAACAACCGGACCCCTGGGCATATCAAGAACAACCTCATTATCAAGAAGAATTTCTCCCACAACCAGAAGGGCCATCGGCGCTGGAGTTACTCATGGAGCAGTATGCTCGAGACTGTGAGAGAACATGCTCCAGGATGGATCAGTGTGTCCAGGCCTATCGTGAAACAGATGAGATCCTCCTGAGCCTTAAGAAGAGCGTCGATGATCTTGAGCGATCTTGGGCGCAACCTGCTCCAGATCACCCTTCTGCTACCATACAAGAAGAGGAAGAGGAAGAAGAAGGCTACAAGGGCATTGTGGAACACACTGAAGTCGTCACGGAGAGCTCCCGTGATGATCATGATCAGGCCTGTCATGTCGTAGCCGACCACACCTTCCCACACCCCAAACTGAGCTTTGAAGAGGCGGGCATGAGTGAGGAGATGCAAGAAGATCTCATGAAAGAAATTGCTTGGCAACTTGCTCTCCAATCCGTGCTAGAAGAAGAAGAGCAAGAAAGGGTGCAGAAAGAAGTTGTGGAGGATGACGAAAGTGAAGCTAGAGGAGTTCTTGATCATTTCCCAGGGGTGATACCACACGAACAAGTAAGGGAGGTTGAAGAAGCAATTGGCGTCCAGGCTGAGGACGGAGTTAAGGTGGAAGAGGCCTGCACCGGCCATGAGTTACATGTGATATCTCCACCAAACTTTGAGGAACTGCTTGGCAAGGACCCATTTGCAGTGTCTCTTTGCCAGACCAAGGCCACATCGACATCGGTTCCTCTTGGTGGACGCGATGGTGGCCAATCGATGTTGTCATATCTGGTTTGGGGCAATGAGACGAGAGAAGAGAAGAAGAGGTCTCGAGGGTGGAGACTTCATCTGCATCAAGTACATGAGCCTTCATCACCTGCCACACCACATGCTCGTGACTTGAGACTCCACCTCATCGACGAGAACCTCAACTTCAAGGAGGTTCTAGCATGGACCGAAACTTAGGAGCCATCGTCCGGCTCACGACGTGAAAGAAGCGCTTGTTGGGAGGCAACCCAACCAGTCGGTTTGCATTTCTTTCTCTATTTCTCCTCGGTTGAGTCAGTTTTGTTATTTGATTTTAGAGTCAATAACTCAACCTTTGTGAGATTTTGTGTGGTGTTTGTGTTCTGATTACTCTCTCTTCCTGGAATGCACCGCCTGACCCGTTCATCATCATTCACCCTTGATCTGGTAACTTCGTTCTACCCTCCTTATCTTTCCTCCATTGAGGACAATGTCGTGCTTAAGTGTGGGGGGATGTTCGATTATGTATGCGGGTGAATGTTTGGCTGTTTGTGTGCTTGGAGCCTAGTCCACTGTCCAAATTTTTAAATTTGAGGGCTCCAAGTACGTGTTCCATGCAATTGCCTGCTCAGTATGCTTTGAATTGACAGTCTTTACAGTAATATGCAACCTAGGGAGGTAGTGTAGCACTATGGAGGATGTTGATGCATTTAAGAAGTCTCGTTTCTTCTTCATATTGTGTTAGTTGATTGAGTGAATTAGTGATCTTAGGACCCTTGAATTGTGTGGTGTTGTGGATTCTCTACCTGTCATGGACTCTTGTATCATGTTTTGAAAATAACAGGTGTTCGAAAATGTGCTTCAAAATAAACGTCTCCCGTGCGAATAGGGCGAAAGTGTGTAAGGGGAGACGGGAATTCGTTCCCAATTTCCACCTACTACCTCCAGCCCCCTTACATGTCTTTCCCCCGCACGAGGCTCGAGACATCCGCTCCTGGCATGGCCGGTAAGAGCAGGTTGGGACCCTTGAAAGAAAAAAAAGGAAAAAAATATCAGAAAACAAGCATAATAGAAAGAAAAGGGGTTCCAACCATCCTTAAGCAGAAAATAGAGCACCTTGAAAAATGTGAGTCCATGATCTGTTGTTTTTGAGAATCTCCTCATCCACAATTCATTTGTCCTCTGTTCACTATTTGCCATGATGCCGACTCGCCGAAGAAGTTATGAGATGACTTGTGCGTCGGTTGACCTCGTAAGTTGCTAAATGATCTAGGAAGTCCTCTACCTACGATCTGGGTTGTTTGTTGCTATAGAGGTCTGAAGAGTTGCATTGGTTTGAGTTAGGTTTGCTTGGGGACAAGCAAACAGTTAAGTGTGGGGGGATTTGATGACTCGGTATTTGCACATGTTTTCCCCTTTGTTTCTTGATTGTTTGAGCTTGAATTATTGCGTCTTTGGCCCATTTTATGCTAGGTTGTATTCCTTTGTCCCATTTCAGGTCCTAGCACATAAAGTGAAGCATAGGCGCAAGTTTCAAGTCAATCAGAGATCAATTGACGATTCGAGAGAAGAAACTCGGGCATGACCTGAAGAAGAATGGATTTCTACCTCACTTTATGGACAAAGAATCATGCAAGCTTGTTATGAAACGAAAGAGGACGAGACTACGAGCGTCTGGGATCAAACGGCGATTGATTCGGAGTCCGGACGAGGGAGAAACGAAGCATTAAACAGAGGCTGAGCAAGCTGCACGGGCAGACCAGGGAGGCTGCACGGCCGTGCACGTGAGCAATATGGCCGTGCGCCTTATGCCGAGGACACGCACGGGCAACCCCTGAAGCTCGCACGGCCGTGCACCCTGGCCGTGCGAGAGGGCTGAAGTTCGACTAAATGACACGCTGCGTTTTGCGTTGCACGGCCAGAATGGTGATATGCACGGCCGTGCACCCTGGCCGTGCGAGTCGGGATTTCCTGGTTTTAAGCCAAATTCTGAACCAAAGAGGAGGGAGAGCTGGGTTTTGGATCCCAAACACCCAAGGGACGAACCCTAGAGAGAGAGGGCGATTTGAGGGCATTCTTGGAGTAGAGAAGGAGGATTTCTTCGCCTTGGAAGCTCGAGGAACAAGCCCGGACTTGAAGACTGATCATCTGAAGATTCTTACTGCAG